TGAAATAGCATTTAGCTAACTGGCTACTAAAGCCAAACAGCGTTGGCCTTTGTTTACGTCCTTGATATAACCAAAAAATAACGACAGAAACTATACATGGAAAATACATTTCAAAATAATAAAACGGGTTGGGGCCCAACAACAACTACCTCTGGGCATTTACCTCTGGAATTTATGGGCATGGCTACAACTTCCTCTTCTCCAACATGGCCCCGCCCTCTTTGTTGCATGTTCCCGTGGGCATGGTTTATGTAAATTTCTGGGTTTGTGACGTAACGAACCCGGGAAGTAGCTCGTTTTTGTAGGCATTAAACTGCCAGTATTTTAAAAGACGATATCTCCGTTTGCATAGAACTTTCAGCACTGCAACTTTGCAGATATTGTTTATGCTTAAACAGCAACATTACACACTAACTAACGTTAAAAAAGTGAGATCGCAATCAACCACCCCTTTAACGTTAAACATCACGTAGAACACAGAAGTTGTGTTTCAAATGACGTACCATACATAAAATATGTATTCTACCATCAAGTGTATGATTTTAATATTATTTTGTCATCCAGCATCTGTCAGCATCCTTAAAGATCCCCTTCAAATATGTGTGCGTGTGTTTTTTTGTTTGATAAATGCATCATCTGAATATTTGAAGTGCAATTCTTCTTAGAATTTTTAGGGTGAAAACACCACTCAGACTATTCTACAAAATGGCACAGAATAGTGCATAAGTACACAAATTATGATGCACCTTTGGGTGTATTGCAACTGCATTGCAAATGCTACTTAAATACTAAATGCTACTTTTAAAAACACAGAAACTATATAGCAATATGCTAAGTATGACTTAGAACACTTTAACAACTGAAACCACCCAAAACACCTTAGCACCATCATGGCAACAAGTTTTGCACAAGACAAGCACAGAAAGTGTTGTGAAAATCGTCAGAAAATGTAAAAATTTAGTTGACCTATATAGGAATGGCCTTTTCTTAGATTGATTTGATTTCAGTGCATTTTGTGATCTAGATCTTTTAGATCAGGGGTAGGCAAGTTCGGGGCCTAGAGAGCCACTGTCCTGTAGAGTTTGGCTCCAACCCTGAAAAGTACCCTTACCTGCCTATAGCCTTAGTAAACCTGAAGACATTGATTAGCTCTCATGAAATGTGTCTAGCCAGCTTACCCTGTTAGAAATGTACATGCACCATACTGAGATGAAGAATCTTATGTAAGAGATCATGTGCTTGTTTTGGCTGTAGTGCAATGTATGTTTTTTATACTGTATTTTATAGAGTCCAAAAATGCAGAGCGATGGACTACACAATAAAATCTGCCTGTAATCATTCAATTCCTGTTTGTGAATGAAAAGGTTGTATGAGGACAAAACCTGAGAGAGATTAATTCTGTTGTATATCAAACTAATATGAGTCAGTTGTATGCCTCTATATAGTATACAGTGCCAAGTATATTATTGCATGAACTAAAGGAACAAGACAGACAATGTCTCTTCCTGTTTTACACGTATTCACAATCATTTTCCGTTGAGCCATAACCCTGCCCAAGGGACTTTGTGTTTGTGTGTGTGTGTGTGTGTGGACAGCTACTAAAGTTTTGTTGATTATGTGTCAGGTATAATCACAGAATGCATAATGCACAGTTATTCATGCAGGATTCAATTTTAATCCAGCCACACTTTGAAATGACAGGAAATGGCATCATCAGTGTGCAGCTTAAAAGAAAGCCCCCTCTGAAGATGAGTCATGAGAAAAATGGTAATTCTCTCCTCTGGCTCATGAGAAAAAACAAAGCAGTTCAAAACAACTGTACGTATGTTCTGAGCCGGAATTTACAGTATCACATATCCAAAAAGAAAAAAAACAAACTTCGCTCAACCACTCAAAAATGAAAAAAATGCTTGGCAGGCCTCTTTTCTTTATCCAAATGCAAGGGAGGTACCGTCCATCAGCTTCCATCCTTTCCTGATGAACGGAGGTCAGTTTTCCTGTGAGTTGGAAGAAAATGGATCCATTTGTGCTGTTATGATAAGCATGTCACTGAATAGCATGACGTAAAACGCAGAGGTATAGGCCTATAATGGACACCTATGTGAGACAGTGGATGTCCTGAAAAACACTGGACCTGCCCTGCTGAAAGAACTGAATTCCCACCTGCTCATTACATTGTACAGAACCCCCCCCCCACACACACACAGAGACAATTTTCTATATATATTTTGTGTGTGTTCCATAGAAGAAAGCTCATACAGTTTTGAAGCAACATGAGAGTGAGTAAATGATTACATAATTAAAATTTTTGGGTGAACTATCCCTTTAACAGATACCTCTCAGTGTTATTTTTGAATAATTTTTTGTACTGTTATAGTATTTATTAATACTTTTGAGTTATTTTTATTTATATATTTTGATTTTAATTATAGCTTAAGTTTTAGTATTTTTGTAATTTTTTTTATTCATTTCTATTTAGTATTAATTCATTTTATTTTATTTTAGTGATTTTAGTACTTCAGCTTCCAACTTATTTTATTCCTGTTAATTGCCAAGACAACACTTATCATTTTTATTTACATTTTTTTTCTAGTTAGTTTTGTATTTCATATCAAATTTATATATTGTTTTATTTGAGATTAATTTCTATAAATAAATTCTTTTTTAAGTTTTAGTTGCACTGCATTTGAATTAAGATCTTCTTGTCTCTAACAATTCTTTTGCTGCTTTTTGCAACCATCTTGATGCAAGTTTAAGTTTTCAAGATATACAGGGATATGTGTCAGGGATAGACTCTTAATTTTCATTTTTTGTCCCACAGTTGGCTGCATATCTGATCGCAATTTTCGTTTATTTCTCATGAATAAGGCTGCCAATAGAACTTCAAACACTGATCCTCTCCCACACTGAACTAAGATCCAGCTGTGAATTGGATGCCTTGAAGTTTGTGTGACAAAAACGCAAGATTTTTTTTAAAGGCCCTTTGCATCCATCCAGCATTTTTGGCTCCACAGAAAGAAAATTTGCTAAAATATGATTTCAGAGTAGTTTCATAGAGATGCCAACAAAAGGTTCCAGTAAGTAGATTAGCTATACTGTTTATTTTGCTAATGTGCCATGGGCACCTATGCCAAATCTTACTAGGTCAAACTACTGTTTCAGTCATGAAATAATCACGGAGCTTCAAAACCATGTGCTAAAATAAACCACTTGGAAAATACTTAACTTACACATGTCCAATATTTTGCCAGCACCAGCTTAAAAATGATGGGATGTTGTTAACAAACAGCAGTGCCAAGGGGCCATGCCGTTTTACAAAAGAGAGAGAGTGTGTGTGGTTTAATGTTTGTACAGACCAACTGGATGGAATAGCAACCACCTGCTCAGAACTTAAAGGCACAGCGCTGCTGTTGGCCATTAATATGACTCAAGTGTCTAGAAATTTCCTGGCGATTAGTACAGACAAATGTCCTGAGCGACTAAAGCCTACCATTAGATTACAGTGATTGTTTTCTATCCTTTATCTAACAATTTGTGCATTTAGCTTTCTATGAATCTGACATTAAATAAAATGCTGTTTATTAAAAACACATCTGTTTCGTATGCGTGTTGTGCTGTCATAATATATATTATTTAATATATATATATATATATATATATATATATATATATATATATATATATATATATATATATATATATATATATATGTATTTACCTAAATGTTTACATTCGTAATATTTCTGTTATTCGCTTAGTAACTTACTTCCATCAGTAAAATCGGTTCGGTTCAGTCAAATCTCGGTCAGCTCGTTATTCGCTCAATTCAACATGACAGAGGCCGGTTTAATGGGTTTCGGTTTAATGAGCAAGCAAATGAAATAAACCATGCTCAAAAGACAAAAGACAGTTCCGGTTTAATAACTCGGTCATAGTGAGATTTTTGCTCCCGCTCGGACCGATTAAATAATGACACAATTGTTTGTGAACCAATTCAGCCGATTCATTGAATAGATCCGACTCAAATGAAGGAACCGGACACAACGCTAAAACCCACATTGCGCTGTAGTCAGGTGATGATGTTCATTCAGGCGCGAGGACTCTCAAGCTGCAGCAATGTTTACGAAACATTTGAAGCGCGTAAGATCAGGTATTTAAAAAAATATAAAACCAAGAATTGTTCTTATTTCGAACAGACAACTACTCTATATGTTTATTTCCCCACTAGCGAAAAATAAACGTTGGTTTTAGCGTCTTTGCACGTTACGGAGCGACCATGTGAACGCTAGTAACATTTTAAACCGGTAGAAAAAGTTGAACATCTTCATACTTTCAGTACCAGTGCTCTCAGGGAAACAAGTTCCGTTTATCTTTAGTTGATTCCCTCTAACTCTAGAACTTTCTATTCTATTTTAATTCTACTTTATCTACAAATATGTTTCTATTCTATCTACTTGTTTTTCTCTTTCTCTGTGTGTGTGTGCGCGTGTGTGTTTGTGTTTATAATATATATATATATATATATATATATATATATATATATATATATATATACACACACACACTTTGCTACTGTACTGCGTTAGGCTAACCGAGACTTTTCATTTGCACATATATTGTTGCTCTTTTGTTAGTTTTGACTGCTTTTATTTTCCTCATTTGTAAGTCGCTTTGGATAAAAGCCTCTGCTAAATGACTAAATGTAAATGATTCTATCATTCTGCCTTATTTTATGTGAATAAAGGCCTATATATTTGTTTTATTAATGGTATTTAACTCCTGTTGTTCTTGTTTAGTTGGCCTAATTATGGAAGTCATTTTCTGTTAATTGATTTTGTTTTAGATTTAGTTGGCACAAATTCTAACTAAACTAATTATTTTTAGTTATGTTTAAGTATAAAGCACTGTATGTAGTTATCCATTTTTAGAAGTTAGTCTGTTTAACGCTTTGAAAGTTGCCTGATTTTTATGAATGTGTTTTTATTTATATTTATTTACAGCGCTTAAGAGGTCATTTGAAGTGGAGGAGGATACATCCACAAACCCATCCCCTCTTTCCCGAAGAACAACCAATCCTTTGCGCTCCTCCACCTCTTCTACAAGCAGCCGTTTCCACGACATGAGATCGCTCAACTCCGAGTCCACCTCCAGGCACACTTCAGATTCCTCCTCCTCCAACCAGCGCTCTCCAAAGTCCAGCCTGAGGCGCGTGGAGTTATCGGGGGGCCGCGTCCCAGAGACTGTGTCACGCAGGACAGAGATCTCCATCGACATCTCCTCCAAGCAGGTGGACAGCTCTCCCAGTCCCGGTATTGCCCGCTTCGGCTTAAAGAGACCTGAGGTCTCGATCCAGAGTAAAGCCACAGATGGGCCTGTTCACAGAAGGGCTGAGGGTAACCACAGCAGACCCCAGGAACCTCCAACACCCCCTAGGAGAGCCGACCCACCAATATCCTCGTCCCGGATCCCTGAGCTGTCCCAGAGGCGAGCAGAGCCTCCCAGCCCTCTTGAGATCTCAGCTCCATCTAGACGGGCTGAGGTGAACATGAACCACATTAACAGACAGCTGGACACACCGTCTCCTGCAAGGGAGTCAGAGAACAGCTTCATCTCAGCAGCCAGCATCACTCCTACCTTCAATGAATACAAAAGTCATGACTAAAGACTGTGCATTGAGCCAATCTAGGAGAAGTACAGTGAAGCTTTAAAGCACCAAATAAAGATGGAAATCTTTTCCTCAATCTTTTGCGCACTCTCTCTCTCTCTCTCTCATATTAGCTTTCTATATTACTCTCAAGATTAAAAGGTAAGTTCACCCAAAAAGAAATGTCATCATTTACTCACCTTCATGTCATTTCAAACTCATAAGACTTTTATTCATCTTCGAAACAGTGGCTTCATCCAAGTCTTCTGAAAAGATATGATCAATTTGCATGATGGACAGATTTAATGACTTTTATTGATATAAACATTTATCAACAATGCACATGCGTTGAGCACATAACCTCAAACCTCACTGGTTCGTGCATCAAGCAAGCATGATTGACCTTCTGTTTTTGAAGCATCAATGTTTTGGATGCATAGCCTTTCAATGAAGGAACAGAAATCTCCCGGGTTTAATTAAAAATATCTCCATTTGTGTTTTGAAGACAAATGAAAGTCAAAGGTTTGAGCCGACATGTGGACTGTACTTTCACCCAATTTGAAGATTTGCTATTTCTGATGCTTATGTTTTCTATTAGTTATCAAGCGCTTTTTTTTACTAAGCATCTGTTTCTTATTGGTTTTATTGGTCCAAGGTGTCCCCCATCTGATTCCACATTTGCATATGAAAGATAAATAAGTCTCTCTGGCACAATTGTGATGAGTGAGATTGTGAGAACACAGCCTTACAGCCTATAGGGGCTTGTTGGTTTGCGACACATGCGTGCAGCTGCTGGGTGTGTCTGTCCAGATCTGGAGTTCATAAAATGTGCTGCATAAAAAGACACCGTTTAAATTTCAGCTTTTACACTGTATACAGGAGACAGTGTGGTAAACAGTGTGGAGACACGTCATCTGACACGTTTGCCCAGAAATTCTTAATTTAGTGCATTGAAAAGCAAGTGTATGCTTTAGGCATGGGCCGGTATGAGATTTTGACGGTATGATAACCTTAAGCAAAAATATCACGGTATTGTCATTACAGCTCTAAAATGTGTTATTTTTAAATGACTGGGTAAAAAAAATAAATAATAATAATTTCCGTTGAACACAATATATTTTGTTTTTGAGCAACATACAGAATCTTAGGAACAGTAGAAGTTGTTAATTTTTTTCTTTGATTTGTTTCCTAAAAAGAAGAAAAATAAAGACTGACATCTTTATTTAACCTAAATCTGTAATTAGTTATTTAATTTGTTATATAATTCATATACATATCATTTATATAATTTCATATCATTTATTTATATAATTTCATATACATAATTTGATTTAATAATAACCCAATTTGAAGCAAAAACAGAATGTTCTGACTAGCTTTGTGAAATTATACTACATGCCTGAACGAAACAAACAGCAGAAGCTCTGAATGAGACGCAGATTCACTCTCTGACAGCAGGAGGCGCTTCTGGAACACCAGCTACAGCGTTTCCTTGGTTACCGCTGTATACAAAGCTGCATTGCGCTAAAACACTGCTTTAATATGAACCATACAGAGACGAGATGAAAAGAAAATACCACGTAAACTTTTCTGAAGACAGTCAGTTCCCCTCAGAAACCCATTCATATATAGGGATGTAACGATTCACTCAACTCAAGATTCGATTCGGTTCACGATTTTGATTTCACGATTCGATTCACGATTTTTTTTTTAACAAAACTATTACAATAATAATAATATACTAATATAGCGCTTGTAAATTATTGCTCTTTTGTTGGTTTTGATTGTTTCTATTGTCCTCATTTGTTAGTCGCTTTGGATAAAAGCCTTTGCTAAATACCAAAATTTAAATATAATGTAAATGTAAATAACAAAACTAAATTGAAATTTTAAAACAAGCCCCAAATCAAATAAATAAGTAACACAAATAAAAGAAATCTCTTCATATAAACAAAATAAGCATTTGTCTGTGCTCTTTCCATTTAAAATTAGAGGCAACCAAATTACATTACATTACAAATTACATTACATTACAAATTACATTGTAGAATGGTTTGACTTCAGTTTTGTGAAACTATGCATAAAAAAATATCTGCATGAAACAAACAAAAAAGAGGAGTTGAATGAGATGCAGATTCACTCTCTGCCAGCAGGTGGCGCTTAATGCTTTTCCATGGTTTCCGCTGTAAACAAAGCAGCGCTGCACTTTAATATGAACTTTAATATGCGTTATACAGAGGCAAGAGAAAAAGAAAACATACCATCTAAACTTTTCTAAAGACAGTAAGTTCCCTATTATATTCATATAAACTCCTGCCCCTAATTGAATCGCGATTTGTTTAGCATCTCAACCGATTTGAATCATCACATATTTAAATCGATTTTTAACCGGCTCGCGGTTAATCGTTACATCCCTATTCATATAAACCCCCAAATCAATATTGAGGATTTTCTTCCAATAGTTTGTGCATCATGAACAGTGAGTGATCTGCCTGCTACAGTATTTTTCTCTGTGCGTCCGTCTTCAGCGTGTCTGGCCTGTGTTAACAGGCGTTTACAGACTTCATATTTTCACATAAATGACATTTTGGAAAACGATTGCATTGCAAAGCAGTTTGTGCAAGTCCAGAACAGAGACGAGTTGGTTGCAATAAGGCAAAAAACGTCCGGTTGCCGATCGCGTAAGTTCCAGGGGCAGCTCCTTAATTCGGCCATCCTACACACACGCGACTGACCGCTCGCTCGCACCAACAGGAGGAAGAGGGTGTTACTCTCTACACTGCACTCAACCTGAGGGATTCCTACACATTCAGTCTTTGAGGAGACATGAAAAACAGCGCATACCGCAGGAACGGTATAACGGAATATATTAGCGGTTTTGAAACCGTGAAATTTTCAAATGGTGGTATACCTTGAAACCGATAATCGGCCCATGCCTACTTCAGACACAACATTTTTCTCTGTTTTCTGTTTTTGTGAGTGTTGTTGTCCTCCTTTGGCCTGAAAGGATTTAACTTTTCTTGAGTATATGAAATAAGACAAACTCTAAAAGAGATGGAAAACCTTTTCAGGATGTGATCCAGGAAGCCTGCGGCACATTTGGGTTTAATTAGTGTTCCTGCACAGCCCCAGTGTGGATGCAGTGAGCAGAGCCCTGCTAACACAGCCCAGATAAGGAGAAGCAGAGAGAGATAAAGCACTAAGTGCCAGACAGAACAGAGTCTCTGTGAAATGTCTAGAAGTGGGGAAAAAAGAGTGAAAAATGAACTGACCTCTGAGTAGGGTTTTTACAGATAATAGAAAAAAATACTCCAGTGTTAATAATTTAAAGAGGTGTGATATGAATTGTAAAACATAATGCATTGATGCATGCGATTCATTAAACAAACAAAAAATATTGAAGAATTTGACATTTATAACTTCTATAATTTACCTGCAAATCAAATATAGATGAGATGTTTAGCATTAAAAAAAAAAAAATCATCTTTGCCTTTTTTTTTTTTTTTTTTGGAAGAAATTAATACTTGTTTTCAGTAAAGATACACTATACTAAATAATTTAAAAGGGATAGTAAAGATCCTGATAACTTAAAGATTTCTATTTCATGTAAATAGTTTAATTTCATAAGTTGTCTATGGCTGTGTGTTGCCTTGATTTAGGCCTAGTACCTATATACTAATAACAGAGACTGGTGTCATACCTCTGATATTACAACTGTTAGTCCAGGTCACACTCTTCATGAGTTTGGAAAGAAAGCTTTACTGTTTCTTCTGATACGTGACCTTTAACAGATTATGAAGAGTGCTTACTCACTAGTTTGTGGTTTAAGTCTGTGTTACTCATGAACAATTTGAGCATTTATTGCTTTAATGGTGACTGCTGGATGACTTGGTTGTGGCCCGTAGGGATGAGAGGGAGTTGAGCTTTCACAATGAACCGAACAGAATGACACATTTACCAGGTGACCGTCTGTTTCTGCCATCCTGCTGTATGAATTCGCCCTGTGAATGTTTGTGGGAAAATTCCTTCAGATTCAGATCACCCCAAAAGAAGTTGTGAGGAAAGGGTTTCATCACAAAAGCTTTTTGTCATTGAAAGTTTCATTGTTACCATTTTGATTGTACAATGCGCGTACAATGGTTATTTTTTCCAAAAAATGTTTCCATCTTAAAGTGGATCATCTTTCTTAAAGGGGTCATGACATGTTTTTTTTTTTAAATGGTCCCTGAGGTGTAATTATAATATTACTAAAGTTTTTTTTGGATGGAAAAACATTCAAAATTGAGTGATTTTATGACCTTTTCCCACCCTGTTTCTCATCCTCTGGCTGAAAGTCAGTCGGTTTTGGTGTGTTTTCCCTTTAAGAGGTCAGTGTAACCGCCCACTTTTATGATTCGCTAACATCCACCCTCATTACCGCCATTACTGCTTTAAAAATAGATTTTACATGAAATACGTTACTTACAGTTTGCGGTGTCGTTGTTGGGTCCAGAACAGTTGGCATGGCCTGAACTTTGAGCAAAAGTATTTTGGCAAAGCCAGCATCATACTGTGATTTGTTCTCAAAACAGTCAACGGTGAAATGTACTGAACACACTCGTAAATTAGTACTGAGGAGACTGAGACGTTCACTAAAAATAAACTGAATCTAGTGCTGGGCGGTGTACCGGTTCATACCGAATACCAGTGTTTATTTTTGTTATGATATGAATTTTTAAAATACAGAAATACCGGTGTATGACGCTTAAACAACGTTCAGAACGTGACACTGTTTGAAAGGGGTCCCTTTTCACTGTTGCACTGTGGTGAGGGCACAGCTGTATGTGTTACTAAACGTGAAAGTTCCGAAACTGAAGCTGTAGAACTAGAACGTGATGACACAGAAGAGCTCATCCACAATATCCACATTGACTGCCACAAATATCCACCGCCCCCTACCA